TGTGTGTGTGTGTGTGTGTGTAGGTGTTGGAGGACATTCACCTGCAGCAGCGTAAGCTTGTACAGATGCTTCTGGACAAAGCCGACCAGGTGTTCACCTTCATTTTCCTCCTTGAGATGCTTCTTAAGTGGATCGCCCTCGGATTCAGGAAGTACTTCACCAGTGTCTGGTGCTGGCTCGACTTCCTCATCTTGGCCGTAAGAACGCTGAATATTGGTCAAATTAGAGAATCAGGGTTTATTAACTGACAGGTAACCATAGCAACAGCAGTAACTCGTAATCGAAACATGTGAGACAAGTAACACACACACACACACACACACACACACACACACTTCCTACTTACTGCTTATGATGTCATCACGAGGAGCGCTGTGTCTTCTAGGTATCTCTGATGTCATTGAGCCTCGGCATGCTGGGATATTCTGAACTGGGAGCAGGTCTGTCTCTGAGGACTCTGAGGGCTCTGAGGCCCCTGAGGGCCCTGTCTCGCTTCCAGGGCCTGAGGGTGACACATCCACTTTATCCAAAGACACACAGCATGTTAGCATGTTGGCTGCAGTGGTCCACTAACTAGTTGTGTCCACCTGTCTGTCCATCTGTCTGTCTACAGCTGGTGTTGAACACCCTGGTGGCCACTGTTCCATCCATGTGTGATGCAATGCTGGTGTGTCTCCTCGTCTGGTTGATGTTCAGCATCATGGGAGTAAATCTGTTTTCCGGAAAGTTCTATTACTGTTTCAATGAGACAGCAGAGCAGCAGTTTTTACCTGAGGAGGTGAACAACATGACCCAGTGTTTGTTTCTGATCCACGAAAACGTCTCCGACGTCAGCTGGAAGAACACAAAGTTAAACTTTGACAACGTGGCAGAAGGTTACCGGTCACTGCTGCAGGTGGTGAGTAAGATCTTTTGGCAAAACACAACAATCGTACATTTAATTCTGAGAAACAGAGAATACATCAGGCAAAGGCCTGAGAAGTCTGACCAGGTTTTACTCAGAGTCAGAAATATACTCTGGAGCTTTGTTCAAATGTCTGATTAGTGACCCTTGTGGAACCCAGAGGAAGTTTTTTGAGGAAGATATCGAGGTCAGTCGCATCAAAACCAGCAGTGAGATCTAGTAAAACTAAGATGTCGTAAATACTGTCAGTTAAAAGACATTAATGCAGTTATTTGTACACATGTTTTCAAGTACTCTGCTCGAAATATTTGAAAGAGGTTTATATTTACTGAGTACAGATGGGTCCAGGTTGTTTTTTTTTAACGGTGGTGAGACTACAGCATGCACAACAATCACACAGCACAACAACTACACAGCACAGCGATCACACAGCACAACAA